CCTGTGCTAAAACAGTAATTTTATTAATAATGTTAATATTTTGTTATAAAATATTCTTTCGTTTGGGGTGAGAAAAATAACGTTTTTAACGTGGGAAAAATAGATAACAGATGCTACTTCCTTCTAGGAAAGTTAGAACATCCTCTGTTTTTCCCTTAATTTCCTTAAATTTGTAAGCTCTCTCTCTCTCGATCGTATATCGGTTAGATATATGTCCATATCTCGCACGCCTTATAGACTGTAATTAGTAGTAGTAGTCTCCTTATAATATATTTGTATTCCTTTATTTGTTTACGTTTAATTAAATTTACTCTTGTTTATTTTATAAAGTAATGTCTCTCAATTATTATCGGAATACGATTGCCACACGCGTGTTTATCCGCGTGTAAAACAACTGATAAACTGGTGTCTAGGAATTCTGACATAGATCTGGATTTCGCAGTCTAGATCGGTAACGCCTTTTTTACCGCCCTCCTATAAAAAGTTACGAGAGCCGATCTCACGATCGAGCGCACGTAAGTGGCATAACTTTGTTTACGTCCTGGCTGATCTCACATTTGTTATACATATGTATTATCTCAGATTTTATTAAACATTTTTTTTTTAAATTATTGTTTTCTTTACTTTCCGGCCCCAAATAAAAATTATTTGTATGTATTTACATGCGAAATTATACCCCGACTTACGCGAATTAGACTTACGCGGTTACCGCTCGGTCCCACCTATCGCGTAAGTTCGGGGTATTACTGTATTCAAATTTTCAAATTGAATATATACTTAATTTATACTAATGTTAATTTATATAAATGTTAGCAAGATATAAGCAATCTTATTTATATAATATAAAATTTATATTAGGGGAGATCGGGGCAAGATCGGCATGTTAAGCTTTACTTAAATTTTGTGTAATAAATACTGCTGTAAACTGAAAAAAAAGCTTTGCATATTGTCTATTGGAATGTTACCTTACTATAGAACTGGTTAAAATCAGTTTGGAAATAAAAATAATTAAAATAATTACAACTTTACAAGAAGAGAGAAATTGACGAAGTTGCCCCGGGTATAGGGGCAAGATCGGCAACTTCTCTCTTTTTGTAAAGTTGTAATTATTTTAATTATTTTTATTAAAGTTGCCCCTGGTATAGGGGCAACAGTAATGGGGCAAGATAGGCACGTATATAAAATTATGTTATTAACAATGTATAAGTTGGAATTCACTATTAAAACAAAGAAATACAAATCCAACACCCATTTAATATTATTACAACGAAATGCAAGTTCAAAGACATATATACATGAATAACAAATGCAAACATGTTTTCATTTATCATCTGTTTGATTTTTATCCTTTGCTTCTAATGTGGCTTTATGTTGCCGATCTTACCCCGCTAGTCATGATTTCGAAACATTAAGTACAACCCTGAGAACAGAATGCCAAGCCACGATCTGGCCACGTGAATAAGTTGAAGTTACATCCTTCTAACAGGAAAAGTAACTTTCGTTATCATGGAATTATAACAAAACCTGCCAATTCAATATAAATGGAAAAAAAATATTATATGGAATTGAACGAAAATGAAAATTTGCTGGATAATTCAACTACGCTTGTTGGAGAACAATAAAAACACTACACTTAACAAGCCACCAATAAAACTCAACTGCCTAACCTATAATCAAAGTTTTTTTTTAATTTGTTTTTTAAAAAAAGCGCTTGACAAACTTGCCCCGCATGCCGAAGTTGCCCCGATCTCCCCTATATAAATTCGTATATAAATTAGTATATTATAAATTACAAATATTAATGTTTTTGTCATTTAGTTAACATTTAGTGCTACTGGACACTTGCAGTTGGAAGCAAGTTTATCATCGATATAGCATGATGAATACAATTATACCAAAGTTGTATTCAATCACAGTATTGACTAGTGAAAGTGCTGCATTTAAAACAATTTATAAATGAAATAGAAGCAGCCTCGTAAAAATACTTATACAACAAAATGTGTTTAAACATTGATGATGTTGCCTCATTTTTTATCGAAGTACAGTACAGTACAATTTCTGTAATTTGACGTAGTTGAACCAGAAATTTGTCAGATTAGAGAGTTTTCCGGATGATAGGATTCCCGAGATAACACCCTAATTTGATATCGTAGAAATAAATGATTATGATGCAGCAAATACAAGTTCGTCTGCTCAAAACTACAGCGCATTTTTCTCGCTGCCGACCACTGCTACGTTGACCATGTATTCTGACTAAAGTCCGTTGAAAATTGAAGCCACAGTAAAAATTTAGGTAAAAATAGAGTAATTGTAATAGAAAATTTCCACTGAATCGACTTTTATATAGAAACAGTATCTTATTATAAGAGATTAAACCATTTTTGAGCAGCCTGAGATGACTAACCTAACAATTTTTCTGCTCATGTTTGAGCATTTAAGATCAACTGGATATCCAGTCATGTTTTGTGGAAAGGTGTTCAAATTTAATAGGAACTGCGGTTTGAACTAATGGGAAGCTTGTACGATTTGGCAGCATTACCTCAGAATAAACAAATGTGTACAGGTAAATGGTCGATTTACCGGGATTTTACTGTATGATATGTTACAGTGAATGACCGATATCTGGCGAATGTCAACATTCTCCGATAAATGTCAGCATTCTCCGATAAATGTCAGCATTCACACTGTCCTTTCGAGTATATACGAAATATTTGATAAATATTATTTCTCACTTACATCGGCAAATGTCGACATTCAGCATGCACTGATGATGAACATTGCATAAATATATTTTTATTACGTTAAGACAAAAATGCAACTTTTTAATATGTCAAAATAGAAGGAAGCTTAAGTAACAGGAATGTAAATAAACTGTTGAACCTAAAACGAACAGTACATTCTAAATCATTAAAGAATATAATACAATAATAAACTTACACATAAATTATGTGATTAACGTTATACAATCTTATTTATTGCAACAACTTAAGCTGTTATGGCACTTTAAATTGCACAAGCGTCCCCTGTTTTACAACTGCATTTATTCGTGGAACACTTCTTTTTGCAATGACAGCGTGCATAACCTTGCCCTCCACTTATCGAATTAGCTGCAGCTGCTTCTCTCAAAGATATTTCTTGAGAAGAAATCTCATCTATGGAAAATAACTTTTCTTTACAAATTACGAACTAATTACGGATATAAAGCTGCTTGAGGGTACCATTTTTGTTTGCTAATTTATAAATGTCGGAATCTTCTATTCCAACAACAACCGCCAACACATTTCGGACATCTGTACGGCTACGATCGACACAGGGACTTGTATTCGTACGGTATAACCAATTTGAGAAGAAGGAAACAACGAAGAATTTGGCGACATACGATAGCCTCTCTGTCGACATCGGCTTCTCGAGTGTCGTTTCGACCTCCACCAAAGCTTATCTGCAGTGTTGCCGCAATGAAATTTGAAAACGTACTGAAACGCCTTCAAAAATTGTACTATTTTTTTTTCAAAATATACTAGTTCTAAGAATACTTTGTTTACATGCCTACATATATATATAGGCACGTAATTTATATATATATATATATATATATATATAGTTTATTGTGAAATCATTGAATTTTAAATTTTATTTTTGGAATTTTTTGAAAGCTATTTAAAATTAAAAATATATCTACACATCTATTACTTATTATAAAATTAGCATTACATTGACAACATTTATTAATAATACTATTGAATTTCATCTTAATTTTATAACCAATCGTGCTTTTAAAAAATAATTATAAATTTGTTATATTATATTATTTTATTCTTTATTATACTTTAAATTTTTTTGATGTTATTGCATCACTTTACGAAGTGGTATATACGTAATTGCATCAGTTTTAGTACCTATTTAATTAATTTCAATCATGACAGCAAAAGATAAGGATGCTTGTTTCTTTTAAACTATTTGATGAAAACGTTACATAAAATTGGGGTTGCATAATCATCCGAAATTATTATTATATTTTTGACTGGAAATTACAGGATTTATGCAATTTTAGTTTAATTAATGTCATATAAAACTGACTGCTCGTACAAGTTTGCTTAAAACATGCAACTCAAAAAACCCCAAAATGGCAGCTCAAGAAGTAGATCACGCGTGTCCTGACCTTCTTATATAGACCTTGGAACAGTCGGAAGCGCGGCCATTTTGGAACCATACGTAACATTAACCCTTATTTCTTTTACTACGATTACTAAAATTGAAGTTCATAATTTAAGAATTAAATTATAGTGGTAGAAACTAATATAAAAGTATTTATATTATTTATACTCGTACAATTTCAAAACTATTTTCAATAATAATTTGATTCTGACTTAACGAATATTTTGATATTATTGACGACAAAAGTTTAAAATCATTGATTTCCTTACCTGTCCATTATTTTTGTTTGACGGAGTTGAATTGTTTGGACCACGTGGCATGAAAAATTTTGTCAAAGTCCTGATGAGAATGTGCAGACAACTGAACGTGTGAAAGAAAACCAGAGTCAAGACTGTTTACATGTGCAACTATCTATGTTGTGATTGGATAATTATAAATTAGCAAGCAGTGATACTAGTGAGACTTTATTAAACTCATTTTTTATAATTTTTTTCGTTAAAGCCGTAAAATATTATTTTGTACCGTAAATGGTACTTGAAATATTATAATGTACTGAAAATGTACTAAAAATCTAAATGTAATTTCAATTTACTGGAAAGGGCAAAATGTACCAGAAAAGTACAAATGTACTAGGAACGGCAAAACTGCTTATCTGTGCTTGTCGACATACACCGGCGATTGTTCGAATGTATAATATAACCAAATATTCGGTCTTTCACCGGCGTATTTTGTGTGTGTCGACATTCTCTAATTTCGGTTTTTCACAGTAGCATATATATTTGGAATTATCCAAAACCAAAGCTTATCAGGATTGTTGGTGTGTCTATTATATTTAGAATAAACTTTTTATTTTAACTAAAATGTTATTATAAAATTATAACTATTAAAGTGATATGTAAACGTGTTTTCACTACTGTTGGCTATTGTAGAGGAATAATAAAAATGTATTTCAGCACTGAGGCGTGAAAAGCCCATTGTCTCGTTTTTACTACTATTATTGTTTGTATGTCTCTGTCAACTATAGAAGCAGTGTTGCATGATGACAGTAGTGCATGGCCAAATCCAATCAATAACATGCACAATTAATAGCCGAAACATAAATGCTAGTAATCAAGACCAAATAAAGAATACAAATGCAAAAGTATATTCATAACACATGACAATTATTACTCACCTTTCTAAAAATAACAGTGCAAAATGCTACCTTTATTTTCATTCCAAGTATTTGTGAAGTAAATAGATTAGCATTATATGCACCCATATAAACCGCAGTTACAGCAAAAAATCCTAGAAAGGCTACATATATATAGTATTCATTCCATTCCAATCTGTTGTCAAAATAGTGTATTATTAATCCCAGTAAGTATGATTGGCCAGCAACTACAACGATGTCCTGCATAAATATACAAAATATTCATAAATATCAGTTATTTCGACTATTTTAATAGAGGAGAAGGTGGTATTATGGAACCCCAATTACATTTTAGTGAATTGTAAACATGGTATCATAACTACACCCCACATTTTTTGTGCGAAAAGTACTGGTAACTAGTAAACTAAATGTTCCTAATTGGATTTTTCGCTAGTGTAATTATAAGTATGGTTTTTGAATGCTTTTGTACAAAAAGTCCAAAAGTAGGCTTAGAGAAAATCGGGTGGTAATACGGAACCATACCGTATATTTTCAAAAAAATGCTTTAATGTAGCCAAAAACAAATAGGAAAGGACAAAAAATGTTAAATAATTACAAAATTATTTACTCCAATGTATTTTATCGCAAAAATGCTTTTATAATAGAAAAATATGACCTCCATCAACAATATATATTCCAGCTGCTGTTTTTAGAAATTTTCAGACTTTCTACCTAGTGTCTTTTTCCCAAATTGCTCCGGACGAATGTCTAATTGCAAAGAGAGAGTTCGGAGGAGTTGAGTTCCATATTACTGTAAAAGCACCAAAGGGGTCCGTATTTCACGCATCGCCATCTCGTATTAACTTATGTCTGTCGAGACCAAAATTTAAAAAACGTGAACATCACACAGATTAATATGTACCCCTAAGTCTCTGGAATGGAATACATGCACCAATGAACCTACAACTACGCAATTTATATTTTAAAAATAATTAAATTCACTTAGCATTCAAAACTTGTGAATTTTGAAAAAAAACAAATTTGCTGATTAAATACGGACAACTGTTTAACTGAAATAAAACGGATTTTCCCCTTGCTATGGATGTCTGCCTAGTTCAGTTCAGCTATATTCCGCTACAGTTCGCCTTTATTATCAGTTCGAAATGAGGTGGTTCCATAATACCCGCAGTGTTCCATAATACCACCTTCTCCTCTACATGCTTAACATAGGGTATTTAAAAACATTTTTGTTTGTAAGCACGATATAGTGCAGTTATACGAACACTAGCTATTATTTCATTAGTTTATTTGTTCTTCATAGTTGATACGCGTTTTTACACGTTACCTGTACTCATGAATACCCTCTTTGTAGGTCCTTTGTATACAGGAATACAGGTCCTTTGTAGGTCCTTTGTATACATTGAATATTGACCTGTACCCATGAATACCCCCATTTTAAGATGCTATGTTAACGCATCTGTAAAAACATCAATTAAAATTTTCTCAGAAAGGCAAACAACAGAAGAGAAATTAAATTCGGCTAAAGTAAAATACGGAAGAGAAGGTATGTTTGTAAATTATGTGTATTATTTAAACGGTTTGAAGTTAGGTAGTAATTACGTACAAAATTAGATGACTGAAGAAGGGCGTAGTAATGCCTAAAACGTGTAAAAACTTGTATCAGCTAAGAAGAAGAAATAAACGGATGAAAGAATATCTACTGTTTGTCCAACTGCACTATATTGTGGTTACAAACAAAAACGTAGAACAACACGGTTTCAAATTAGTAGAAAATATTTAAAATCAGTTGTCATATTACCTGAGTAAATACATATAAAATTATAATTGAAAATTTCCATCCAAGAAATCGTAATACAGCTTTCAGTATATTTGAATTTTTCTTCTGTAATTCTTTGTTCCACTCTCTGAAAATAAATTGCCGTAAAAGTTCACAAATAAAAACACCATTTCAATAACTATTTTTCAATTTTTGTAGATATATAAATTGCATTCAGTTCTTTTAATACTATCGATTTATTTTAGGAAAACCGCCAACGCCAATAATGACGAAACCGCATATTTTATTAAGGAGAAGATATTAACTTATAGGTGTACTTCAAAAGTAGACCTTCAATCGTTAAAGAATGTTTCGAAATTCCTGGAATTTATGGCAGTGTTCCAAAAATTAGCTTTGTATATTTCGAGTTGGTCTAATGATTCAGGTTGGTCTGGTTCCTACTTGGATATATTAGACTTGTTTCATTGAACACAAGTGTACTCAGCAAATAAATAAAAACAAATCCAATAACCAACACCTTAATAGTTGCTGAGGGAGTTTATTAAAAACGAACGTTTTCGATGTATTCAATAGATCATCATCAGGTTAGATCATTCAAAAATGGAATACACCATAAAATGGAACATCACGTTCAAAATTCAAAAACCGATAACATATCAACTAAAAATAATAAAAATTATATTTACTCTGATCCTTACCTCAGGGTAAGGATCAGAGAACATAAGTATTTTGATATAAAAGAATCTAACACAACTATATTGGCCCAGATGGCTCTTGCCCAAGGATCTATGGTTGGCTGGAAGAAAGCGGAAGTCGTCAGATAAGTACACTCTCCAACTTTAGCGAAAACTGCCGAAAAAATGAAAATATACAGGAGCAAACTTGGTGACAGATGCATTAATGCCAGAGATGCTGAGGGTCTTCCTTTTGCTTGGAAGTTTGCAATTAAAAAACTTATAAGTAGCTCGTGAACCGAAATACGATCCTTAATCGCTTTAAAGGAAATTTAGCAACTTCTATTTGGTTAAGATTCATTGTATTAATGTTTAGCTATAGTAGCATGTTATTTATTTTTACATTTTATGTATCATGTATAATTTTATTCTTTTTAGTTGATATGAATGGTTTTGAATTTTGAACGTGATGTTCCATTTTACGTTGCATTTCATTTTTTAATGTTCTAACCTGATGATGATCTATTGAGTAGATTGAAAACGTTCGTTTTTAATAAACTCCATCAGCAACTAATAAGGTGTTGGTTACCTGATTTGTTTAGCCTTGTTTCATTGAAAAGTAGCATTACTGTATATCTTTTCTGATGCAGATGTCGCTATCGTTGTGTTCCAAAGGCCCTTTTGGATGAATGAAAACTCTTTTGACTCACTTTACCAACATCAACGATAGAGAAATCGAACTAAACTACATCCCAGGCATAAAATAAAAACATGGGTATCCTTCATGCCTCATCCAAAATCTCATCGTTAAATATTATTCTGAATACAAAGTCCAAGGCCAGGAACACACATGCGTAAAATTGCGTGACAGAAAACTGAATTCGAAATAAGCTTTAAGTTCAGTTTCTGTTTATGCGAGAACACACATACGTAAAAATTCTGGGCGAATAGGAAATGCCACTGCCGCTAACAGTGATACATTTTATTAATTTTTTCTCCCATATATCTATCCCTTTGTACCTTCCATTTTTCTCCACTTTCTCTGCTATAATACAGAAAATTTAAATTGATAGACATGTATTCCGAATTCCAATAGAGAACGTGTGATCTAAATACTAGGCCTATATATCGATTCTACTAGACCTACCTGGTATTTGAAATTTAGCACCTATAGCCATTCATAAACGTTGTTTAAATACGGTGTCTTTATACGTGACACTGATGTGGTCGAACAAATTCAATAAACTCCTCTACTATTTTCGTTTTTTCGAGATCGACACAACTGTAGGGTTAAAAATATATCTGGTTTTGTCATTATTGACGTCGACGTTTTTCCTCCAATGAAATAATTGTTTCATATGTTTTCAAATTTTCATGTAGATGTTTGACTGTGTTTAACCTAAAGATGACGATTTCAAAATCATATTAAATGTTTGTTTTTATTATTTAGTAAGTACTGTATATTTATTTTTCGTGATATTACTGTTATAGTTACGTGCTTTGAACTGTCTTTAATATGATACGAAACCTGTTTTCTATAGAATTAAGACCAGGAGAATATGGGAGTCAGTCCATAACATGCATAGCATTTGCCGTAAAGTACTCTAAAGTTATTTTTCATTATGAGTGGATGCATTATCTTGCTAAAATTAGTAAAACGTCTTTCCAATCCTTTTTCACAGATGATATTAGGTGTGCACACGTTTAACTTGCAGATAACGCACAGCATTAATACAATTAGGGTTTAAAGCAGAATATGTGATAGCACTCCACCGAAATGCACATCACAGCATAATACACCCATCATCTTACTGTCGTCTTCAGTGAATTAATTCATTTTTAGGAGTTGAAAGTTGAAATTTGGTACAGAGTTAGGGTACGTCACGAGAATGTACACTAAGAAGGGATTTTTCGGAGTTCCCCCCGCGGGTGGAGAGGTTGTTAACACTTCTCAGCGGGGAGTGTTAACAATGAAAGTGTTAAGAATGGAAGTGTTAAGTAACAATGAAAGTTTTAAGAGAAAGCGACATGCAAGTTTTACAGGCGCAGATGCGTTTTTTTGCGTTTTTTCGGGAAATCGAATGTATTTTTAGACCCATCTAAGAATTTTGTAATTAGTCTGAAAAGAGGAGAACTTAATTCTTTCATTCTGTGAAAACGGGTAAGATTGGCTATAATGTAATAATCTTAATCTTCTCTATCGTTACTTTTTGTCCGAGCAACGCCAAGCTTATCTGCTAGTACACGTAATATTTGATGATATTTTAGATTTAAATGAAAAATAAAAATATATATAAAGTGACAGAACTGAAAGTCACAACTTGAATATTTATAACAGATTGACTTATTATTGCAGGAATGAACTTGTTATAATAACACTAGTAGCCTGGGACGCCCCCTAGTGGGCGTTCTTTACAAATTCCCATGATGCAAGTTTGATCCACTTAATACAGTAGAGCGTCGATTAACCGAAAGTCAATCATCCTAAACGTCAATCACCCGAAAGAATTCCAGTCGGCAAATTTAAATTTTCGCCAGTGCTGTGGCACTGCAATCTTTGGCTATGTCTTAGGCTACTCAAATATTTTACGTTTTTGATACTAAATTAACTTCTGAAGTATAATTTTTTATTGTTTTTATATTTTTCAATAAATTTATTTTGTTCGTACAAAATAACAAAATAATTTTTAACGATACAATAGTCTTCGTTAGGCTAAGACTCCACTACCGTAAAAACGGCGTAAAAACCCCTCGCCGTAAAAGCTTTTAATCACGTGACCCCGATATCTTACGCTCGAGCAGGCCGTAAAACCAGCGTAAAAGCGAGTTGAGCTATGTTTAACTTTCGACGCGAATACGCCGTAAAGAGGTACCTTCCACCAATCAGAAGTCAGTGAAATCTACGTCATCACGACATGGAGTTAAAATGGCGGAAAACGAGCTTTTGTGTACGTTCCCTCGTGGCTACTCTAGAATAGATCCGGAAAGATTTATCGAAAACATCCGAAAGTATTCGTGTATCTACGACAAGAGGTAACCTGATTATAATAATGGATACCAAAGGAAATCCTTCAATTTAGAGGAGTATATAATAAAAAAGCTAAGCTTATAAGTGCTGTATATTATCTTAATAATACGATAATAAAAGTTAGTATATGAAAGTAAAGATATTATTTTTACTATATTTGTAATTATAGTAGGCCTACAGAAAAAACTCGTAGAATATAATCATTGTATTTATATCGATATATCACGTATACAACCGTCTTTCGTTTCTACCAATTCACGTGCGAAGAAGTATTTACTTTCGACACTTGGGGCAGCACCGTTGCCGTAAAAACCGCGCTAGCTGGACATCCACCGTAATCCGAGCGCAAACGCAAATAGGTCACGTGATTAAATGCTTTTACGGCGAGGGGTTTTTACGCCGTTTTTTCGGTAGTGGAGTCTTAGCCTTAGGCTTAACATCGACGAAAATTCAACGCGAAGCAACACGCAACGAAAAATGTCAAGATGGGATAAATTAATATATTTTTTCGTACATAATCGGTTATCCGAAACATCGATCTTCCAAATAACCCCAGTCCCCAATTAATTCGGATAATCGACGCTCAACTGCATATAAATTGTTATTTGTTCGTTACTTGTTTTTTCGTTATTCTCTGTGGTATCAATAATAAACTCGTATTACAAATAAAAATAATTTATTGTTCATTAAAAGTATGAGGTAGTCCTATCGTACGGTAGGAGACAATATGCTAATTAAAAATAATTATTCAGTGTTATTAAACATTCTATAAATACTCTAAAATAGTTTAATTTGTTTATTTACTTTCGCTGGTAAACCTCGATGTTAAATGTATCGGCAATTTTTTCAACAAATTTTTTCAACAAATTTGAGTCAATGCGTGACGTTCACCGAGTTACGGCATGTTGTAAACGTGCGGCGCAAGGTTAATCAAGGCATATAATAAGAAAAGGCAATGCATATAAGAATTATTTACACCATTCCGTGGTACAAGTAATAAATTCTTGTCAACAATAAATTCCTATTACAAATAAAAATTATTTATTGTTAATTTAAAATCCTTGCTAGGGCGCCCCTAGTGGGCGTTTTAGGCAATGGATACCGTTACAGACGCAACAATGGCTTATATATATAGAGGATTATTGCATCAATATGCTAAAAATGTAATTAAAAATTATCATGTAAAATTACTGTATGAAGAAAACCACCAACTAACATTTTTTAAGTCATAACTATCTGGACATAAATATGTGAAACAGACAATAGACAAGAGGTAGTCATGAAGTGCTGACATCTGTTGTCGATAAATTTTATAAAAATCGATTTTTAAGAGAGTGTTTACGAATCGGTACCCATAATTATTAACAATGGATGGTACATACACAACAGTACCCCTGTCAACAAAGGTATCGTGCCAATATTTAA